AAGCTAATATAGAAAAATAGTGAATAGTCTGAAGCAATCTTCAGGAGAAATATAACATCTCTTTTATAGCAGCTAGTATCTATTAGGCCTTGTGCCAGTTGCATATTCTTCACTCTCCTGCCAAACAAAAAGCAGAGAGGGCAGTTGGATTATGCATTTCTAGAGGAGAAGACAACCTACAAGGTTTTCTTTTTGTTATTTTAGTTGAAATCATTTCTTGTGTTTGAATCAAAATCAGTGTCTTATATTTATACTAGAGGCCTGGTGCACAAAATTCGTGTATCGGGGGTGGGGGTGTTTCACAGCCTGGCCTGCACCCTCTCCAATCCAGGACCCCTCGGGGGATGTCCGACTGCCTGTTTTGGCCTGATCCCGCAGTAGGACATCCCTCTCACAATCTGGGACTGCTGGCTCCTAACTGCTTGCCTGCCTGCCGCCTGATCATCCCCTAACTGCCCTCTCCTGCTGACCTGATTGGCCCCTAACTGCCCTCCCCTGCCAGCCTGATCTGCCCTACCTGCCCTCCCCTGCCAGCCTGATCTTCCCCTACATGTCCCTTTAACCATTTTATTAGTATAGATGGAGACAGAGAGCAAGGTGAGAGAGACACATCAATTGGTTGCTTCCCAAACACATCCAGACCAGGACCAGGAATTGAACCAGTGACCCTTTGATGCATGGGCCAACACTCTAACCACTGAGAAACACTGGCAAGGGCTGGATGTTGGCACTCTGTCCAACATCTTTCCATTCCTCTATGCTGCCTGCGCTGATAATCATTCCACTCTATGTTTCTATGAGTTTGGCATTTGTAGATTCCACTTATAAGTGGGAACATACAGTATCTGTCTCCCTCTGTCCCATTCATCTCACTTAACACAATGCCCCAAGGCCTCACCCAGACCTAGCAGAATTTACACCTTCTTAGTGGCTGAATGGTATTCTTGTATTGTATGTACTCAGAAAATGGCAAATGCCACAGATCAGAGCATCCTAAAAAGAGATGATTTTCAGAGGCAGCACAGCACAAGGCTGTCCCATCAAACACTAATGTGTTGAATCCAAGTGATATCATTATTCGGGAAATGGCACAGTTGACACCTGATGAAGACGGGAAGGGATGTGAGGTCCAGAGAGGGGCATAGGTATATTTTTTGATTTCTCTTTTCTAGGTTTGTATCTAATTTTACCTATTTGTTTAGTTACTGAATCCAGGCAAAGTCCTCTGAACAGAAGAAAGGACTCAATAATGTTCATCTGGTCACTCGGAGAGAAAAAGTAAATAACATGGTATCACGTAAAAATAGACAGATATTGTACAATAGAATTGTACACTTGAAACTTGTACAATTGCTTAAACAACGTCACCCCAGTAAGTGTAATTTTTTTTAAAAAAAGTGGAGGAGAGGATGAGGTGTTAGATGTGGGGACCCACACCTGCCACCTGGGATGGTCCTTCAAATCACAGGGGTGAGGAAAGAAGTGGGGGTCGTTACTGAAAGTCAACTAAGACATGGAGAGGAAACTGGAATCTCACATTTAATAGCTGAAAAAGCTAGTCCAGGGAGCACTTGGACATTTCCTGCACCAAACCATGTTCATTCCATTAGAAAAATCAGCAGGCAGTTCTCCCAAGGCATAGTCCCGACTTGCCTTCAGCACCTCCCGGGGTCCTCAGATGGGCTCCAAGGCTCCCGACTCTGAACGGTGCATTGTTCCCTGTGGGTTCACCTCCTGGCTGCATCCTGGGTCCATCTCTGGCTGATTCAAGCCTGAAAGAGCAGCACCCCGAGTGCCACCAGGACCAAGCCAGCCACGCCCATCCGAATGAAATTCCCCACGGTGTAGTCTTGGGGGTGGGAGGCTGGGATATTGGAAAAACAGGTCACAGAGGCCAGGACCCTGGATATCCACCCAGAGCACCCACCTCCCCTTGACAGGACATGAGCCTCTGAGCCCAGCCCCATAACTAAGGGTTTCTCCTACTCACCGATCTTGGGGGCTGAGTTGTTTGGTGATGGGCGGAGGGTGTCATCTGCTCCTGAGAATCATGACATGAGGCTGTGAGTGAGGACCTGGGGAGACAGGAGCCTTCCTCCTGGGCCCTGTGCTATCAGATGCCCCACTTCTCAGATCATAACTTGCACCGTCCCTCACCGCCCAGCCCCACAGCAGGAGCAGCAGAGTTTGGGAGCCTAAGCAGGGCTGATCCACCTTTGTTCCCTCCTGGGAGCTGAGGGACAGGACCTGGGTGCCCAGACCCTTGTCCTGCCTGTCCCTCCCTGTACAGTGTCACCGTCACTGAGACAGAGGGGACAGGCCCCATAACATCACGTCTTGGGGGCTTCCCTGTGGAGCCTCCTCTCCCAGGAGGTCAGGGCCAGAACCGACAGGAAATCTAAGCTCTGGACAATGACCCCTCCTTTACACTTGGAGACACACAAGGGAAAGGATGTGTCCAAATCAGAGGTAACTGAGCCCTCTGCATGACTCAGCCCCCGACCCCCATGGACACACCCACCACCTCCCCACTCAGACCCTCACTTACCTCTCTGAAGGCCTGACACTGTGGTTGTGGGTGTCCAATTCTCAGTGGGTCCGGGGATCAGGATGGAAACTGAAGTGTGGGTTCTGCCACCTCCCCACGTGACCTTGGCTGCTCCTCACCTAGCCTGGGCCCCAACATCTCCCTCTGCCACAACCATCCCTCCTGTCACCTACCAGAAGACCTTTGAATCTCTGTGGTCCCACAGAATCCTCATCTGACACCCAGCAGCCCTAAGACACAAGCCTTAAATATTTGAGGGGAGATTGGACCCCCTGAGAGACTCAGAATTTCCCGGGTCTTCTGTGTTCCCTCTGAGCAGAGCTCAAGGTGACTCATCAAGCCTGGTAGGCGGGGTCTGGGGCCCCCAGTGGGTTTTAGGGTGGGGAGTTTAAACACTTCTTGGAACTAGATAGTCGTTGTCATTGAGACATTGTGTGTTTACTGTATTCTTGTGATTTTCATATTTTAAAAGGCTCAATTGTATGTTATGTGACTGTTGCTTTAATAAAAATAAATGCAAGTGCAACTCGCATGGTTCCCTACAGCTCCCTTATACCTTGGAGGTTGCCCCAATGGTGTCCAAGGAGTTTTATGGAAGCGGGACTCCCACTGGGTCAGAGGTGCCCTAAGTGCCTTAGTGCTTACAGACCAACCCACTGATGAAATTTCCACCTTCAATCCTGACTGGGGCTGAGTCTAGGATCCCGGCTGAGGCCCACCATCCCTGCATCCTTTTGTCTGCACTCGTCTGCCATTCAACCAAGGATGTGCTACAGCTTCGGATTCAACTTGTAGGCTCGGGGTACACACATGTGACTTCCAAAGAGCCCTTCCCACCACATGCCTCCCATACACATGCCTTCATCAGGTCAGAAAATGACACTAGATTTCCGGCCAACATGGCTCAGTGGTTGAGCATTGACATATGAGCCAAATGGCCATGCTTCGATTCCTGGTCAAGGGCACATGCTTGGGTTGTGGGCTCCATCCCCAATGTGTGGATTGCAGGAGGCACCCGATCAATGAGTCTCTCTCATCATTGATGTTTCTATCTTCCCCTCTCCCTTTCTCTCTGAAATCAATAAAAAAATTAAAAAAAGAAAGAAAAGGACACCAGATTGGGGCCCTTTGTGTCTCAGGCACTGCTGATCCTCATAACAACCTCAGAGGTGAGAGCTCACAATTTTGCCCAACAGGTGAAGAGGGAGAGGAGAAGAGACTGGCTCAAAATAGAAGTTCAATAAACATGTCCCCAGGTCTTAGATTACAACCTGGGATTGGCCTCCAAAGTGCTCTTCTACCCAAAGCATAAAGATGGAATAAACACCATTAGACAAAGAGGTACTGTCTGGAGGACAAGAGGTGGTGAGGAGGTAGAAAGGACTCTGAAGGTTTGATGGAGAGGGATGGAGAGCAGGAGCTCTGCTCACAGAGACAAGAATGTTAGAGAGAGGAAGTGATGGGGAGAAGCAGCAGCACACACCCAGGCCTGGAGGGCTGTGCTGGTGCCTCTGTGGGTGATTGACAGTTTGTAACATCCCCCAGGCCTCCTGCTCCTCTTGGGGTCAGCAAACTTGGATCCAGCCCCATTGGCTCCTCCAGGCAGGCATCAGCCTGACCACCGAAGGTCACAGGTTTGCTTGTTCCTTGGTTGCAGGTTTGCTCCTCAACCCTCATTTGGGATGCAACCAATTGGTATCTCTCTTACACCGATGTATCTCTCTCTCTCTCTCTCTCTCTCTCTCTCTCTCTCTCTCTCTCTCTTTCTCTCTCTCTTTCTCAGTCTCTCTGTCTTTCTTTCTCTCTCTCCTTCCTTCTTTCCATTCCATCTTCTCTCAAAATAATTGGAAATAATACCATTAGGTGAGGAGTAAAAAAACAATTTTTTAAAATAAAAGGTGCTGAGCTTTATAAGTCATTGAAGGAATAAATGTGCATCAATCCACAGGGTGGTACCAATACTTACACTAAATAGTGAAAATTAAAAAGGACAGAAACACGAAGGGTTGGCAGGGATGGGAACCTACCAGGACCCTTGAATCAGGGAGTCTTGGAAATGCTGAGGCCACTGGGAAACTGCTCAGCAGAGTCTTTTATAAATGAGCTCCATCAAGAGACATGGTCGTAGTCCCATTGGGCTCTTCAGAGCCAGACTCTCAGGGGCGGACCAGGACCAGAACCTGGGTCCTGCCCTATCAGAGCAGGAGTCAGACCATCAGACACATGAGACCCTGAGGATCAGGTGAGACCAGAGAGCCTGTCTCCCCCTCAGCCCTCAAGCGGGGGAGATGCAGAGCCAGGCCCAGGGCGGGGTCATCCCTTGGCTGTGGGTCCGCAGCTGTGAAAACCCAGAAGGCGGAAGCAGCTCTGGACCCACCACATCCTGTGCGTCTCTGTCCTTCAGGCCCAGGCCTCCTCCATCTGCAGAGCAGGAGCCCTCAGAGCAGACGCCATGACGTCCATCCTCTCTGCCCTTCTCTGCCTCGGTCAGTTGTGGACACGGGGATGGAAGGAAGGAAGGAGGGAGAGCAGGAGGAGGGACAGGATGGTTACAACTCCTTGTTCATGGGGAACGTCAGGCTCAAGCAGCTCAATTGGACGGGGCCGTAATGGGAAGGGAACCAGCTGAGACCTCCGGGTGCAAATCTCTCACAGGGACTCTCTTCCAGGGCTGAGTCTGGACCAGAGGACCCGTGTGCAGGCAGGTGAGTCCTCCCCAGGCTCCATGTCCCTCCTCTTACTTCACCCCTGGGGCTCAGTATGGAGCACAGAGGTGCTGGGATGAGGTGATAAAATGAGAGGGTCTTGGGCTGAGCTTGGGATGAGGGTGAGAAAGTCTTTGTAAAGCAGCCTCTGTTTCCTTTTAGGGCCCTTCCACAAACCCACCCTCTGGGCTGAGCCAGGCCCTGTGATCAACTGGGGGAGCTCCGTGACCATCTGGTGTCAGGGGACCCCAGAGGCTGAGGAGTACCGTCTGTATAAAGAGGGAAGCACAGCATGGTGGTACCAACAGAAGACACTGGATCCCGGGGACAGAGCCAAGTTCTCCATCAGACACACGACAAAGCCTGATGCAGGGAGATATCGCTGTTACTATCGCAGTCCCAGTGGCCGGTCAGAGCCCAGTGACCCCCTGGTACTGGTGGTGACAGGTGAGAGGACACTCAGGGGTCCCAGCCTCAGGCTCTGCCCTCAGGAAGGGGGTCTGCTCTCAGGGTGTCTCCCTCTCACAGCCCAGCCCTGGGGGACATGAGGGAGGTGTGAGCCCATTTAACATGCTGCCCCCTCCTCTCCTAGGAACCTATAGCAAACCCAGCCTCTCAGCCCTGCCCAGCCCTGTGGTGACCTCAGGAGGGAAAGTGACCCTCCAGTGTGGCTCAAGTTGGGATTTTGAGAGGTTCATTCTGACTAAGGAAGGAGATCACAGGCTCTCCTGGACCCTGGACTCATGGCCACAGACAAGTGGACAGTTCCAGGCCATGTTCCCTGTGGGCCCCGTGACCCCCACACAGAGGTGGAGGTTCAGATGCTATGGCTGTTACAGGAACAGATCCAATGTGTGGTCACTCCCCAGTGATGCCCTGGAGCTCCTGGTTCCAGGTAAGTCCCATTATTTTCTCATCAAATGATTGAGGCACTGGATACATAATTGGCGTCTTCGCTGTGAGTGGAGCCCCAGGGGAGATGATGAGGTGAGTACAGGGGCACCTGGGCCAGAGACACGGAGAGAAACAGTGAGACATATTGACCAGGCCAGGAGAATGGGGTTGATGGTAGGAGCAGACACTGTAATTCATTTCTGGTCTTCCCAGGTGAGTCTGGCAAGCCCTCCCTCCTGACCCAGCAGGGCCCCATCGTGGCCTCTGGACAGAGCCTGACCCTCCAGTGTCGCTCTGATGTCGGCTATGACAGATTTGCTCTGCACAAGGAGGGGGGAAAGGACCTCCCCCAGAGCCTTGTCCTGCAGCCCCAGGCCGGGCTCTCTCAGGCCCACTTTTCCCTGGACACTGTGAGCAGCTCTCACGGGGGCCGGTACAGATGCTATGGTGGATACAACCTCTCCTCTGAGTGGTCGGCCCCCAGTGACCCCCTGGACATCCTGGTGGCAGGTGAGGAGCCAGTGGGTTCAGTCAGGGACCAGACTCTGCACAGGCCCTGCTGGGGTTCTCAGGTGGTGAGGCCAGAATGACGGTGCAGGCCCCAGGGAGGGAGAGAGACAGAGAGGCAGGGGGTTGGAGGGAAGAGGGGAGACTCAGAGAAACAGAGACAGAGAGAGGAGGGTCCTTAGAGTGAAGTCTGGTAACTCAGCTCAGAACGAGGTGGGCTGGCAGCCCTCACCCTCCCTCCCTCTCTCTAGGACTCCTGTCTGACAGACCCTTCCTATCGGTGCAGCCAGGCCCCGGGGTGGCCTCAGGAGAGAATGTGACCCTGCTGTGTCAGTCCCAAACCTGGATGGACACGTTCCTTCTGTCCAAGGAGGGAGCAGCCGATCCCCCACTGCGTCTTACATCAAAGTACCGAGCTCTGCAGTCCCAGGCAGAGTTCTCCATGAGCCCTGTGACCTCAGCCCATGGGGGCACCTACAGGTGCTACAGCTCACACATCACCTCCCCCTTCCTGCTGTCATACCCCAGTGATCCCCTGGAGCTCCTGGTCTCAGGTGAGGGGCCCCTGACCCTGTGTGCTGAGCTGTCAGCTCAGGGTCCTGTCCCCAGAAGGATTATGGGCTGTAAGGGAGTGAGGGGCTGCAGGGATGGTCACCCCTAGGAGATCTTTTCCTTAGAGGTCTCCCACCCTCTCCACTCCCTTCCCCACACCTGGATACTGAAGCAGTGGGAGGGCCTCATGGGGACACAGCACAGATGAAAGGGGGTGTTTGTGTGAAATCAGTCCAGGGTCAGCCAAGCCTCTCACCCTCTTCCTGTCCTCATTTCCAGGACCCTCTGGAGGCCCCAGCCCCCCACCCACAGGGCCCACCTCCACAGCTGGTGAGTCCCGGGCTCTGCTCAGAGGGAGCACAGCCCCCCCACCCCCAGCAAGTCTTGAGAGTCTGTCAGGGGATCGAGTGACCCAGATCCTCAAGGACGGGCTTGTGTCCCAGGGGGGCTGGGAGTCTCAGGGTCTGAGGAAGGTGATGGGTGGGGTGGTCATGGCAGAGGGAGATGTGGGGCGCAGGCTGGAGAGGAGGAGCTGGTCCTATGTGGGGAGATGGCAACCCCCAGCCCTCCTGCCCCATCCTGAACCTAGGAGGCTCTGAGGATAGTCTCTCCCAGCCACGGGGTCAGGCACACAGACAGGTAATTGAAGGGCTTTGTGCGGAGGTGGTGGGTGCTTCCATGTGGAGACAGGGGCTGAGCTATAAAGGGTTCAGTCCCCTCTGACGTCACTTATTTGGACCTACCCATCCCTTGTCTGGGCCTCAGTGTCTCCAACTGTAAAAGGAAAGAATCGTTGTTGAGAGCTTAGATTTCCTGACAGTTCTAACGCTGACCTCCTGGGAGAGGGGCTTCCCACGGAAGCTTTCAGGACGTGATGTTATGGGGCCTGTCCCCTCTGTCTCATTGGCGGTGGCACTGTACAGGGAGGGACAGGCAGGACAAGGGTCTGTGTGCCTAGTCCTATTCCTCAGCTCAGGCTCAGCTCAGAGGAGGGAACAGGGTGGATCAGCCCTGGTTCAGCTCCTGGCTCTGCTGCTCCTGATGTGGGGCTGGGCAGTGCCTTGTCTCCTCTGAGTGTCGGGTTCCTGTCTGCTCATCCCTGGTCCCATCCTGTTCACAGGCTGCTGGGAGATGAGGTGACATAAGGGCCTCACAGAGCTCAGGAAGGCAGAGCCCCCAGCCCAGCCTGACCTTCCCAAGGGGCGTCAGGGCTTGCCAGGTTGAGATGGACCTGTAGATACTCAGAGTCCACCTCTCACCCTGCCCCTCCTGTCCCTGCTGTGCTGGGGGCGGGTAATGAGGAAGGAACCTCAGCTCCAGATGATACATGTACTAGCCCCTGCAGAGGAGCCCAGAGCACGAAGCTGGTGTCCCCCTGGGGGGCAGCGTGAGGACATCACAGGGAACTCACAGTCCTGGATTCCAGTCCTGGCCATGCCCTGTCCAGGCTGGGTGACGTGGGGCACGTGATTAATCTCTCTGAGCCTCAATGTGTGTGGGTGGTGGGGTCATTCATCCCTGGTGCATGAGGAGAGGACATGTGTGACAGACCCCAGCAGGAGACTCACACACAGTAGGTGCTCATTAAATGGCATCCTTGGCTCATTCATGATGTTATGAGGGGGAGATAGGCTGCCAGGTCTATCCCGTCTGATTCCTTCCCAGGATTCATCCCCAAACTCTCCATCTGGGCTGACCCAGGGTCCATCATCACCAAGGGGAGCCCTGTGACCACCTGGTGTCAGGGGTCTCTTTGCTTCTATTGTTTCGTTTCATTATGGTTTCTTGGGAATGCTCTTTTTCTGACAGATACACATCTGCCCAATTTACCTTTTCTCTATGACTTATAACCACATGACACACATTACAAAGGTTTCTTGGTAGCATCCATTTGGTTATTAACCCAACAGAATAATGTTCATCATCCACGTGCATTTTCTGAATTGTGGAAGCTGGGATTTAGAATCATTGCATGGATCTTTGTGATGAGGAAAGGTCCGTAATTTATGTTTATATCTTGGTATTTTTATCAAAATGGGGTAACAGATGGACATAATTTCCTACAATTGGTGTTCACTCAATATTGCAAATTTGTGGGATTTTCTATGTTATGTAAAGTTTGAAGCAGAACTGTGTTTCCTTGGTTGTGAACTCTGTTGTCTTTTGAGATTAAAAAAATCACATGGTTAGCATCCACATACCCATATTTTTCATCTGGAACATATATCTACCATTGTAGGTATTCATTATTATATAATAAATGAGTTAATAAAAGAATCAATAGATGAATAACTTCAGATGACAATGAAAATAGCAGAGCCCAGAGAGGAGGGGCCTGGGCGGGGTGGGGTGAAGGAGACCCAGCCCAGACTTTCACCCCTTCATGCTACTGAGATTCAGGAGCCCCTGACACCAAACCCTCCTCCATGGACCCTGGGTCCCCAGCTGTTGAGAACATGGGATCTCTCAGCTGTAGGGGAATAAGCTCATGGGGTCTTGAGTCTCAGGCTGAACAGAGAACACACAGCCCTTAGTTATTTCTAAATAGAGACCATTTCTACACTCATCCTCAGTTCTTGGGCACAGCTAACTCTTATCAAGGGGACTCAGAGCAGGTGCTGAGTTCAGACATCATGGGGATGCTGATGTCAAGGGGAGGTGGGAGTCCAGGCTGAACATCAAAATCCTGGAGATTAGGGTCTGCCTTGACCTTTGTGACCTTTGAATCTACATTTTTGCAGCCTGTACACCCCAAGACTACACAGTGGGGAATCTCCTCCGGATGGGCGTGGCTGGATTGGTCCTGGTGGTGCTCGTGGTGCTGCTATTTCAGGCTCAAAACGACTACAAAAGGGCCCTGGGTGCAGCCAGATGTGAACACAGGGGAACGGTGCATCACTCAGAGTGGGAGAGCCTTGGAGCCCATCTGAGGACCCCAGGAGGTGCTGAAAGAGAATGTGGACTACAGTTGGGGGAACTCTCTGCTGAGAATGTCCAGGAGGGATGACGTGGTAGGTGAGGTTTGGGTGCAGGAGAACGTGGGCCATGTCCCTGTAGAGGACGCCCCCTCCACCCACCTGGTGTGCTGTCCCTCCCTCCCTGTCCTCACTCACTCTCCTCCACTGCCCTTCTGTTCTCACCCTGTGACATGAGGGTCTGCCCACATGGCTGGTTTGGATTCACATCTATGCACTCCTTCATGCTGGGCCACATCCATCCCAACAAAATGAGGTGTCTTCACAAACCTGCAATTTTTAAAACCATAAATAACAAAGGACGGGTACCTGGTACATTGTGGGCGAATGTCAAAATAATTCAGCTCAGTGGTAGAAAGCGGACACAAAAGATCAGGTTTTGTGTGATTCCATTTATGTGACATGTCCAGGAAGAGGAAACCCCTAGAAATAGAAGTTAGATTGGTTTGTCAGGGCTGACCAGCAGGGCAGATGGGAGATGGACTGCTTGGTGTTGTTTGCTTTTGTGTGTGGGGATGAGGAGCTTAAAAACTTATTGAAACTAGATAGACTGTTTGAGACAGTGTATTTACTGTATTTACTCATTGAGACATTGTGTATTTACTGTATTCTTGTGATTTTCATATTTTAAAAGGCTCAATTGTATGTTATGTGACTTTTGCTTTAATAAAAATAAATGCAAGTGAAACACCCATGGTTCCCTACAGCTCCCTTATACCTTGGAGGTTGCCCCACTGTTGTCCATGGAGTTTTATGGAAACGGGACTCCCACTGGGTCAGAGGTGCCCTAAGTGCCTTAGTGCTTAGGGAACAACCTACTCATGAAATTTCCACCTTCACTCCTGACTGGGGCTGAGTCTAGGATCCATGATGACACCCACCATCCCTGCATTCTTTTGTCTGTGCTCATCTGCCATTCAACCAAGGATGCACTACAGCTTCTGATTTACCTTGTAGGCTTGGGGGACACACATGTGACTTCCAAACAGCCTTTCCCACCACATGCCTCCCATACACATGCCTTCATCAGGTCAGAAAATGACACCAGATTTTCCAGCCAGCGTGGCTCAGTGGTTGAGAGATGACCTATGAGCCAAGAGGTCATGCTTTGATTCCTGGTCAAGGGCACATGCCTGGGTTGTGGGCTCCATCCCCAATGTGTGGATTGCAGGAGGCGCCTGATCAATGATTCTCTCTCATCATTGATGTTTCTATCTCTCCCTCTCCCTTCCTCTCTGAAATCAATAAAAAATATTTTTTAAAAAGATAGAAAATAACACGAGATTGGGGCCCTTCATGTCGCAGGCACTGCCGATCCTCATAACAACCTCAGAGGTGAGGTTTCACAATGTTGCCCAACAGGTGAAGAGGTAGAGGGGAAGAGACTGGCTCAAAATAGAAGTTCAATAAATGTGTCCCCAGGTCTTAGATGACAACCTGGGATTGGCCTCCAAAGTGCTCTTCTACCCAAAGCATAAAGATGGAATAAACACCTTTAGACAAAGAGGTACTGTCTGGGGGACGAGGTGGTGAGGAGGTACAAAGGACTCTGAAGGTTTGATCGAGAGGGATGGAGAGCAGGAGCTCTGCTCACAGAGACAAGAATGTCAGAGAGAGGAAGTGATAGGGAGAAGCAGCAGCACACACCCAGGACTGGAGAGAAGTGCTGGTTGCCTCTGTGGGTGAGTTGACAGTGTTGTAACATCCCCCAGGCCTCCTGCTCCTCTTGGGGTCAGCAACCTGGATACCTCCCAATTGGCTCCTGCAGGCAGCCAAGGAGGAGAAAGGATGAACCCTGCATTCTCCCCTCTCTCCCCCTCACACACTGAACTAATTTCACTGTTCTGGCTCCCGGTTCTCCTTTCTGTAACTCAGTTCTCCCCAGGACAGCTCGTTCGTGTGACCACATCAGCCTCCTTTTGGCCTCCTCTAGACCCTCACTGTCGGCTCAGGTGTTTCATTCTCACAAAGGTACCTGTCACCGACCGTCCTCTGCACAAAGCCTGTCCATGGGTCCCCCCTTGACTCCAGCCACATCCAGTGATTTACCCCACAGTCCGTGCTGCTGATGATCAGGCTGAGTTACACTCTCCAGTCTCAGTGAGGCCAATGCGTCCTCGAACCTAACTCATCCCAGTGAACCTCCTCCCCTCCCCCAACACACAACCCAGTTAGGACCACATCGGGCCTCCTCACATGGCCGGCTGAGCGCATCTAAACAGAGCTGCCTCCTCTCCAAACTTCCTAGACCGAAACAACATACGTTTATTTCCAAAATGTACTCCTTACATTTTGGAAATAAAGCAATAGACTTCACAATAATCAATGTGTGAATGAAAACAGAAGTGAATGTTTTAGATTAAATGATAATGTAACTATTACACATCAAACCTATGAAATGAAAATATGAGAAACCATGTGTGCTTGTCAGTGTGTGTGTGTGTGTGTGTGTGTGTATGTGTATGAATATGCATGTGTATGTGAGTGTGTGTGTGTTCATGGGCAGCTATACCCATCTGTCTGAGGGAAGCAGAGGTGAGAGCTGAGGTGGGAGGGTCACATCTGGATGGTCATAAACAGCCGTGAGTTTAGAAGGAAGAGTGTGGTTTCACCCTGAAGACAGTGAGGACCATGGAAGGGTTTAAGCATAAACAGCTTCTGAAAGGGGGTGGCAAAGGCACATGTGGACCGTGAACTGGAGAAGGGAGTGAGGGTGTGGAGCCCAGAGCTCAGGAAGGTGGTGGATGTAATGGCTGCCTTAGGGGGTGTGAAGATGACCTCCCTCCCTGCCTTGTTGACTGGGGACACCAAGGGGCCCTCAGAACAGTGAGCCCTTGGGTGGGGGGAGGGAGTAGCCTGGTTGCTGTGCAAGATGCATCTGCTCCCACAGGAAGCACAGCGCCTCCTCTTGGCCCTGGGACGCAGCTCCTACATCTCACACAGGCTCCACCTGACTTTTGGTCTCTCCATGTCCTGGGGGTGAATCCTCTGAGTCATTTCTGCCCCTTCAGAGCACCTTTGATGCCGGGTGTCTCTCTCCTCTTCAAACTGTGGAGACTTATCAGGACTCAGACAAGAACAACATTCATGGGAATCCTGTTCCAAGGCAGCAACACACACAGACACATTAAATATCAATAGTGGTGCGACCACATCCTGAATGGTTGAAGGACACTTGAGCAGGGCACTTCCTCCCTTGACTTCTCAGCAATACCAACACCTGCCCCACAAAGATGGTGAGAATTCTTCTCGACTGAGATATGGAGGAAATGAAACCAGCCATACAATGCAGATGGAGATGGTGGAGGTTTGAAAAATTGCAAAGTAGAGATGCCTGGTCCAGTGAAGCAGAAGGAAGACTCCAGGTCAGACCCTGTGTGTGGAGGCACCTGGATGATTCAGTGGGGAGGTTATGGTCTTTGCATGGCATGGGCATGGCTGGGCCAGTGGGTGAGTCTCTAGGACACGGTGAACACCTTACCTGCCTCACAGCATTTGCAATAAGCAATGCAGGATGGGTGACAGATCTAAACAAGAGAAAGAAATCAATTACTATTTCTTTTACCAAACTATCTTATTAACTTGTGAGATTTTTTTTTCACGTGGACACAGGAACAAGAACTTCGGGGGAAATGGACACAGTGGAATCACTAACAGGAAGAACTACTGTTCCTCATAGACCCAGAGAGACAGGGAAGAGGATAATAGCGATGGCAAAATGAGACCACGGACTGGCCCTCAGATCACCTAAGAAATATTACAGATCCGTAATGTGGCAGCAGAGAGCAATAGAAAAGCAAGCAAACACCATTATCAAGCAACTGATATTGACATGCAAAGGTGCAGTGACATTACATAAAGGTGATGAGCTGGCCTTGGCTGGTGTTTCTCAGTGGTTAGAGCATCAGCCTGATCACTGAAGGGTCAGAGGTTTGCTTCCCGGTGAAGGGCATGTACCTTGGTTGCAGATTTGCTCCTCAACCCTCATTTGGGATGCAACCAATTGGTATCTCTCTGACCTCTCTCTCTCTCTCTCTCTCTCTCTCTCTCTCTCTCTCTCTCAGTCTCTCTGTCTTTCTCTCTCTCTCTCTCCTTCCTTCTCTCCCTTCCATCCTCTCTAAAAATCATTGGAAATAATACCATCAGGTGAGGAGTAAAAAAACCAATTTTTTAAAATAAAAGGTGCTGAGCTTTATAAGTCATTGAAGGAGTAAATGTGCATCAATCCACAGGGTGGTACCAAAACTTACACTGAATAATGAAAATTAAAAAGGCCGGAAACATGAAGGGTTGGCAGGGATGGGAACCTACCAGGACCCTTGAACCAGGGAGTCTTGGAAATGCTGAGGCCACTGGGAAACTGATCAGCAGAGTCTATTATTAATGAGTTCCCTCAAGAGCCGTGGTCATTGTCCAATTGGGCTGTTCAGAGCCAGATTCTCAGAGGAGGATCAGGACCAGAACCTGGGTCCCGCCCTATCAGAGCAGGAGTCAGACCATCGGACACATGAGACCCTGAGGATCAGGTGAGACCTGAGAACCTGTCTCCCCCTCAGCCCTCATCCGGGGGAGATGCAGAACCAGGCCCAGGGCGGGGTCCTCCCTTGGCTGTGGGTCCGCAGCTGTGAAAACCCAGAAGGCGGAAGCAGCTCCGGACCCACCACATCCTGTGCGTCTCTGTCCTTCAGGCCCAGGCCTCCTCCATCTGCAGAGCAGGAGCCCTCAGAGCAGACGCCATGACGTCCATCCTCTCTGCTCTTCTCTGCCTCGGTCAGTTGTGGACATGGGGAGGGAAGGCAGAAGGGAGAGCTGGAGGAAGGGCAGGGTGTTTACACCCCCTTGTTCATGGGGTACGTCAGGCTCAAGCAGTCCAAGTGGATGGGGCCTTAATGGAAAGGGAATCAGCTGAGACCTCCGGGTGCAAATCTCTCACAGGGACTCTCTTCCAGGGCTGAGTCTGGACCAGAGGACCCATGTGCAGGCAGGTGAGTCCTCCCCAGGCTCCATGTCCCTCCTCTTACTTCACCCCTGGGGCTCAGCAGGGAGCACAGAGGTCCTGGGATGAGGTGATAAAGTGAGAGTGTCTTGGGCTGAGCTGGGGATGAGGGTGGGAAGGTCTTTGTAAAGCAGCCTCTGGTTTCCTTTTAGGGACCCTCCCCAAACCCACCATCTGGGCTGAGCAAGGTGATGTGATCCCCTGGGGGAGCTCCGTGACCATCTGGTGTCAGGGGACCCCAAGGGCTGAGGAGTACCGACTGTATAAAGAGGGAAGCCCAGCATCGTGGTACCAACAGAAGACACTGGATCCCGGGGACAGAGCCAAGTTCTCCATCACACACATGACAAAGCCTGATGCAGGGAGATATAGCTGTTCCTATCACAGTCCCAGTGGCCAGTCAGAGCGCAGTGACCCCCTGGAGCTGGTGGTGACAGGTGAGAGGACACTCAGGGGTCCCAGCCTCAGGTTGTGCCCTAAGGAAGGGGGTCTGATTTCACGGTGTCTCCCTCTCACAGCCCAGCCCTGGGGGACATGAGGGAGGTGTAAGCCCCATTTACCATGCTGCCTCCTCCTCTCCTAGGATCCTCCAGCACACCCAGCCTCTCAGCCCTGCCAAGCCCTGTCCTGACCTCAGGAGGGAAAGTGACCCTCCAGTGTGGCTCATGGGAGGGATTTGACACATTCATTCTGACTAAGGAAGGAGATCACCGGTTCTCCAGGACCCAGGACTCACAGCCACAGACAAGTGGTCAATACCAGGCCCTGTTCCCTGTTGGCACTGTGACCCCCAAACAGAAGTGGAGGTTCAGATGCTATGGCTGTTACAGGAACAGACCCAACATGTGTTCACTCCTCAGTGATGCCCTGGAGCTCCTGGTTCCAGGTAAGTCCCATTATTGTTTCATCAAAGGATTGAGGCCCTGGATACATAATTGGCATCTTTGCTGTGAGTGGAGCCCCATGGGAGATGGTGAGGTGGGTACAGGGGCACCTGGGCCAGAGACATGGAGAGAGACAGTGAGACCTGTGGACAGGCCAAGAGAATGGGGTTTATGGGAGCAGCATCCCCTGTAATTCATTTCTGGTCTCCCCAGGTGAGTCTGGGAAGCCCTCTCTCCTGAGCCATCAGGGCCCCATCGTGGCCCCTGGACAGAGCCTGACCCTCCAGTGTTGCTCTGATGTTGGCTATGACAGATTCGCTCTGCACAAGGAGGGGGGACAGGACCTCCCCGAGAGCCTTGTCCTGCAGCCCCAGGCTGGGCTCGCTCAGGCCCACTTCCCCCTGGACACTGTGAGCAGCTCCCATGGGGGCCGGTACAGATGCTACGGTGGATACAACCTCTCCTCTGAGTGGTCGGCCCCCAGTGACCCCCTGGACATCCTGGTGGCAGGTGAGGAGCCAGTGGGTTCACTCAGGGACCAAACTCTGCACAGGCCCTGCTGGGGTCTCAGGCGGTGAGGCCAGAATGACAGTGCAGGGCCCAGGGAGGGAGAGAGACAGAGAGAGACAGGATGGGGAGGGCAGAGGAGGAGACTCAGAGAAACAAAGACAGACAGAGAGTAGGGTCCTCAGAGAGAGGACTAGTGACTCACGTCAGAACAAGGTGGGCAGGCAGCCCTCACCCTCCCTCCCTCTCTCTAGGACACCTGCTTGACAGACCCTCCCTCTCGGTGCAGCCAGGCCCTAGGGTGGCCTCAGGAGAGAACGTGACCCTGAGGTGTCAGTCACAGAGCCCGAGGGACACGTTCCTTCTGTCCAAGGAGGGGGCAGCCGATCCTCCGCTTCGTCTGAGATTAAAGGATGGATCTCAGCAGTCCCAGGCAGAGTTCTCCATGAGCCCTGTGACCTCAGCCCATGGGGGCACCTACAGGTGCTACAGCTCACAAAGCAGCTTCCCCTACCTGCTGTCACTCCCCAGTGAGTCCTTGGAGCTCCTGGTCTCAGGTGAGGGCCCCTGACCCTGTGCACTGAGGTGTCAGCTCAGGGTCCTGTCACCAGCAGAATATGGGCTGAAAGGGAGAGGGGGTCTCTTGGGATGGTCACCCTTAGGATATGTTTTCCTTAGAGGTTTCCCAGCCCCTCCACTCTCTTCCCCTCACTTGGATACTGAAGCAGTGGAAGGGTCTCAGCGGCTACAGCACAGATGGAAGAGGGTGTCTGTGTGAAATCAGTCCAGGCTCAGCCCAAGCCTCTCACCCTCTTCCTGTCCTCATTTCCAGAACCTTCTGGAGGCCCCAGCCCCCCACCCACAATGCCCACCTCCACAGCTGGTGAGTCCTGGGGAGCTCTGCTCAGAGGGAGCATAGCCCACCCAGCAAGTCCTGAGAGTCTGTCAGGGGTTCGAGTGACCCAGATCCTCAAGGACTGGCTTGTGTCCCAGGGGGGCGGGGAGTCCCAGGGTCAGAGGCAGTGATGGGTGGGGTGGTCATGGCAGAGGGAGATGTCAGGTCACAGGCTGGGTATGGGAGCTGAGCTCCTGTGGGGAGATGACAGCCCCCACCCCTCCTGCCCCATCCTCATCCCAGAAGGCTCTAAGGATCGGTCTCTCCCACCCACAGGGTCAGGCACGCAGATGGGTAAGTGAGGGGGTCTGTGGGGAGGTAGGAACCTCTGTATGGACAGAGGCTGAGCTACAAGGGATTCAGGCCCCTCTGAAGTCTCTCACTTGGACACGCCCTTCCCCTGTCTGCACCTCAGTGTCTCCAGGTGTAAAAGGAGAGAATCCTTGTCCAGAGCTTAGATGTCCTGTCGGTTCTGTCCCTGACCTCCTGGGAGAGGGCCTCACAGGGAATCCCCCAGGACGTGATGTTATGGGGCCTGTCCCCTCTGTCTCAGTGACGGTGACATTGTACAGGGAGGGACAGGCAGGACAAGGGTCCGGGCACCCAGTCCTACCCCTCAGCTCAGGCTCAGCTCAGAGGAGGAAACAGGGTGGGTCAGCCCTGGCTCAGCTCCAGGCTCTGCTGCTCCTGCTGTGGGGCTGGGCGGTCCCTTCTCTCCTCTGAGTGTCGGGTTCCTGTCTGCTCCTCCCTGGTCCCATCCTGCTCACAGGCTGCTGGGAGATGAGGTGACATAAGGGCCTCACAGAGCTCAGGAAGGCAGAGCCCCCAGCCCAGCCTGACCTTCCCAAGGGGTGTCAGGGCCTGCAGGGTGGGGATGGATGGGGGAGAGACCCACAGTCCAGCCCACACTGCCCCTCCTGTCCCTGCTGTGCTGGGGGCGGGTAATGAGGAAGGACCCTCAGCTCCAGATGAGACTTAGATAGGCCCCTGCAGAGGAGGAGCCCATAGCAAGAGCTGCTGTCCACCTGGGAGGTTGGTGGCGGGCAGTGTGAAGACAGCATAGGGAACCCACATTCCCGGGTTCCAGTCCCAGCCCCTCCCCGTCCAGGCTGGGTGACCTGGGACATGTGATTAACCTCTCTGAGACTCAGTGAAGTGGGTGGTGGGGTCAGAAATCCCTGGTGCATAACTGCTGTGTAGTGAGAGGAGATAAGGGAAAGACCCCAGCATGTGCCTCACACACAGTAGGTGCTCATTAAATGTTATCATTGGCTCATTCATGATGTCCTCATGTCCTAGGTCCCATATGGGAACTGTACATCTTGATCGGGGTCTTTGTAGCCCTGTTCCTGCTGCTCTCTGTCCTTCTGTTCCTCCTTCTCCGAAACCGATGTCAGAGCAAAGACAGGACTTCACGTGAGTAGAGAATGGGGTAACCTGCTTCACAGAACGGGGGCTCAGAGCACCTGCCACAGGAAAACCAAATAGATGGAGAAGGTCAGCTGAGAAAAGGATTTCTTGAGATTTTGAAATCAGGAAATATAGAAAGAAAACAATCTCAGCACAAATACAAGTCATCTTTCATCGTTTTGAATCTCATGAAACATATGCACACGTGTGTGTTACATTTTCCCTTTTACCTGTGGAATCACAGGGGGAGGGGTCCCATTCCCAGGGCTGATTCTGTCTATCTGGACCAGCCCTGAGAGGAGCTCATGTCCAACCTCCTGCAGGAACCACACACCCCAAGGGCAAGGACAGAGGCCCACAGAACAGGTAATTCCTGCCACAAATACCCGAGACCTCTACTACCCATGGCCCAGCTCTGCCCCTCACACTCCTCTCTCCTCCCACAGCTCCGGCCCAGCTTTGGACGCCCAAGAAGAGGCTCTTTGTGAGAGGAAGAGACAGCTGCCCTGGGGGAGGGGAGACAGGGATTTCAGGGGATGATCGGGGAGGAGATGGGCTGGGAGGCTGGGGGTGGGGGGTGAGAAGGACTGAGATCCACACTGAGTGACCTGGCTCTGCACCTCATCCTGGGTTAGTGGCCCATCTGGGAGCAGGCGGGGTCTGCAGCCCTGAGATCCTGGGGACCTGCCAGGAGACACACCCCCGTTCTGCCCCAGCAGATGCTTCTGTGAAGGACCCGCAGCCTGGGGAGAGCGTGGAGCTGGATCCTCGGGTGAGACCCCTGCTCCTGTCCAGGCCAAGGACCTTCTGTTGCCCAGTTTAATTCAATGGACCCTTCCCTGTCCCACCTCACCTGCTTCTCAGCAGCGTCCACACTGACCTCCCCTCTGGGCCCCCAGGTTGTCCTGCTGTGACTCACTCCTCCTGGTTTCCTTGTGACCTCGTGGCCCCCCCTACCTGGCCCCCTTTGCCGGCCCCTCATCCTCTGTCTGACCTTGTGCAGCCCCGGGTCTCAGGAGGAGGCAGGAATAAGTGACTCACCCACAGGTCCCCAGGATGCCCTTCATTCAATCACCCAGCAGATGTGACAGGGCTCACTGTTTATTGGCTTCATTTATGGACCATTGTGCAGCCCTGAGCCACACTGTCTCCACACGCCTCGAGCTCACATGTAGATGAGGGAGACAATATGCAGACAGTGTCCGAGAGAGCAAAGTGTTATGAATAAACATAAAGCAAGAGGAGGGGATAGAGTGTATGGTGGGG